ATTAAGACCAGACTTTTGGACGGTATGTATAGTTTTTCAGAAGCTCACCAACACCTGTGTGTCAAAAGCAAAACAACCTGCACACACTGTTATTTGTTCCAAACAGAGAAGTCCGTATTACATTTTATATGGGTATTAGCTCCTAATGTTCCACATAAAGAGGACATGGTTCTGTTGGCCTGGCCTTTCCGTTTGAAAGTGGCTACATGAAGTTTTATTATTCCAACTGGGCTGTAATTCATTGTATTTATTTAGGGATTTATAGAAGGTTCAGCCCAGGTAATGTTTCTGGACAGATTTATTAGAGATCAAGCTCTCCTTATCCTCTTTGACACTCCTTGAGATGAATTGTACAGACACAAACACAGTCTGTCACACCTCCTGGAATCAGGAGGGCAAATTCTTTGAAATGCATGAATGTAGGGAAACTGTCCTTCAACCAGCAACCAGCTGTACAAATGTCTGCATTCCTACTGCCAGAGTTAAACCCCTCTACTGGCAGAGTTTAAAGTAACTGTGTGTATAACTGTTACCAAGTGAGAACATTAGCTCTGTCTTGTACCAATAAATGTAAGAAGTTAACTTTTCTTACTTTTCTTTGTCCTTTAATGTATTTCAAGGCGTTTGGAATATATATGCTGTGCTACATTGATCAGCATGAGTGGTTATTAATATGACAGGATACCTTGGTGTGTATGATGTGTATATATAATACACTTTAAGGTTTGCACTTCTTACCTGCAGCTCTCTATCTAACTTGCTGACTGGTGGCTCCTTTTTTTTTCTTCCCTTGCAATATTTAAACATGGTTCACTTGCTAAAAGAAAGTGCTGAAAAATGTACATAGTTAATATAGTGGCTCAATAGCGAATGAGAAAATGCGAGGCAACGGTCATCTATTAGATTAAAGTAAACTGGAGCTGAAACAATTTATTAATATGAATCGATTACTTTTTTTTTTTTAAAAAGAAAGAAAAATCACTGGTTCTGGCTTTTTGCAGGTCTGTGATCGTAAATGTAATACATTTTTTTTTGTTTTTTTGACTGCTAGTCAGACGAAACAAGACATTTGAACTAGCATTTTCCCTCCAAGCTTGCATGACCACACACGTTGATCAGTTAACAGGGACAACAGAGCTCAGTTTAGAGCAGAGACGGTCACAGTGCAGCCAAAATGTACTAAACTCAGTGAACAGGAAAGTGCCTTCACAATATTTTGCTTTGGCAGGAACTGTTGTTATTATAAAACTGAGATTTATTTATAGGGAGAGTTTGTTGTGCCATTAGAGTAAATGGCACTGCACTAAGAAAAAGGCAAGAAGTAGTACAAAGTGAATGCTATTGGCAGCTTCTAGCCTGTCCTCTAAAAATTGAAGAACAGTTTGGGAGACTCACTGCAAATTATTCATAGCCTCCTGTTGAAGCTGCTACAATCTGTGTGTGTGTGTGTGTGTGTGTGTGTGTGCCAGTGTGAGAAAGCAAGAGAGAGTGCCAATGTGTCGAGAAAATGAGGAAACCCAATGTGCATCGAGGATTATTTAGTTGTTGGTCGATAATGGGTCGGGGCAGGCTCCCAGCTCTCACGCGTACTCTTTTTACCGTTCCTGTCTTTCGATGTTGCTCAGGAGTGAGAAAAAAAACACGAGACAGGGATTGACTCAAATGAAGTTAGCTTCTGTCCCTCCAGAGGAAGTTAATCTGATGATGGAGGGACTCAGAGGTGTGTTGAGGTATAAAAAAATAAGCAGTGAGATATAACATTCTGAAGTACAGCGGGATGGAGGTGGAGGTGGAGGTGGAGGTGGAGGTGGAGGTGGAGGTGGGGGAGGCATGTGCAGCACTCGATGGGAAAGTTAGCAGGTGGGACAGTGGTGAAATTACATAACAAGAGCAGTCCTGCCTCCGCTTTTCGGTGCTCTGAAGCTGCACAACTGTGGCTTGAACCCAGTTACTTTGCTACATTTTGTACTAGCTTATTATTAATTAGTTATAAATGAACGCTAATTATCAGTCTGAAGTGTCAGCGATTGGAGGAGCAATATCATTTGACTGTGCATATAGTGTCTTGCATCTACGTCTTGATTATTTTCAGCCAGAGCTGGCTCTTTGAATGAAGTGTTTTAGTGGGATTAATCTGCAAATTAAAATCACTCAAGATGATTAGACAAGACTAAATGAGGTGATAATTCATTAACACCGCCATCTTTGATCACCGTCCTGTCAATTACACACAGATTCTCTTCCCACTTCTACATAAGAGGGAGAATTTAATATTTTTTCATGTCCGTTTTTGGACAGGAATTTGTCCCTCACGTTTCTTAGGTGTTCCTGTCTCCAGATTGTTTACTGTTACCCAGTGTCCCAAATCAAATGGTTCAGTTAGCTGTATGGTATCTGTGCCACTGGCCTTAATGGGAACACTCTGTAGTGTACAAAACAACCAGGATGAGGGTTGATCTCCTCGGCTACCTATATATAATGTAAATATATGTGCTGTGGGTATTGTAAACCGCTCTCACAATTACAATTGCTACATGATTTTTTTAGTAGGGATGTGATTTTGGTTTTCTCATGAGTGGGTGTAGGTGAAATATTATTATAGTTCTGTCTTGTTTTACTTTCCTTTAAAATGTTAATAAATTAAGTATTCTTTCTGTCATTTAAAAAAAAATACTGAGAGTCTTAAATCTAATTAAATTGAAAGAGGAGAGAAAAAAGCTTTGCACACAACTTAATGTACTTCAGGGCTGGAGGTGCAAGATGAACACGGCCCTGAAGCTTTTTTTCTCTTTATTCACATTTACATCTTTGTTGTTGAAACCCTTTTGTATGACGTCCCAGAATTTAAGGTCATATTCCTTTTATTCAAGTATTCCTGTTTCGAGTTTTCTTTTTATTCAGGTTGTTTTCTTAGACGTCAGCCAAAGTTGCACATTAAATTCCCCAGTTGCTTTTTATTAAATAAATTTTTAATGCTGTCGCAGAGCTTCTATGTGCAGAAAAAAAAACCACATCTTCTGGTAACATATAAAGAATCTTTAAAAAAAAAAAAGCAGGTGGATTTGTCATCTTTATCGTGGCATTTATGCAAGTTAACCTCTCTGCCTTGTCCGTCTAAGTTTTCGCATGCTGTGCCACAGACGGCCGGGATTATTTCCCACGCCATTTATATGTGCAGCCATGTCAGCAGAATCGGGCTTCTCGATCCTTTTGTAGGTTTAATATGTGCGCAGCAGGAATATCAAGCGCCAAAATCGATCAGAAGCTTATGTGCATGCAAGCAGGTCAAATCCCAGCCTGTGGGCTCTGCCTGTTGAAGTTTGAAAAAGGCCAACTTCTGATTTTATTAAAGATTATTGCACCCAACTAGACATCATATACTGACTTTAAAAATAGTCTGTGGTTGTAATGACTGAAATCCTGTGTTCCCCTTGAGTCTCTTTCTCCCAGTCTTGCTGTTTGCTCAGATGACAACCTGATTGTGGGAGAACACTGAGCCAGACAGAGGTGTGTGTGTGTGTGTGTGTGTGTGTGTGTGTGTCTGTCTCTCGTAGTGTGCAGTTCACCCTGGTGAAACAGGGGGCTCTCCTGCCCGTGCTATTCCTCAGTACAAACACTGTGTGGAAGACTGTATTTAAATACACACTCTCTTAGCCTGCCCCCTACTGTTGCCCAGACCTACTTTCAAACACACACATATACACTCACACACACTCTGGGGAGAATACACTCCTAAAACACTTTGTAGGTGAACAGAACTGGACTGGGACTGAGCTGTGAGTTAAATGAATATTAACTGATTTTTCTGAGGCCATTTCCCCCAGTTAAAACTCAATTAAGCAGTTTGGAGAAAGACTTTGGGCAGAGGACTTTGTGGATCATACTGCCTCTTGTGGTTGAGAGTGGCATTGCTCCTCCTCTGCTCTTTGCCCTCATTAGCATATGAACAGGTCAATAACTGATATTGTAATTAACTTACCTGCCTGTCTTCTGAATGAGAAATTTACCCGCTGTCTAAGCTCTGGCTGCAAGGCATTTTGGGATTGTTTCATTGAGTTTATATCAATTGTGGCACCTGGGAATTTTCACAACTCAGGAAAGGATTTCTGAAAATCATATTGATCTCTTTTGTCTAACAAAAACAGTTTTACTGTTAAACCGGAGGGCAAGTCTTCGATTCTACTTTCACAAAGTTTAAAATGCTATAATTTAATTTCACACTATAAGCTGATCTCACTCTTAATTTAATAAAGAAAGCATACTTTGTTTATGCAATATTGTACATTTCTAAAAAAGAAAAACCAAAAAAAATGGCTGTTCTTTAAATTGTTTACAACACTCCTGTGTACAAATCCTCATTACCCGTCCCACAATATTTTGCTGTTGTAGTTCTCAAAGCGGCCAGTTGGTGTCCTCCTCTCCCCATTTCCACCTCCATGGCCTGATCGACCAGACTGAAGGATTGAACCGTCTCTCTCTGCTTTCAGTGACATTTTACAGTTGTGACACTTTGGACACGGAGCCTTCATGCATCATATAAACTGTCAGGTGTTAACTAATGTTAAACAAAAACCCACTTTACAGATTAACAGTTATTTGTTACAGTTTTGTTTAATAAATCATCAGTGATCTGAGCTGATATAGTTTTTAGTATCTAAATCAGGTTTCTGTTTATGTGCACATCCTGAACTATTGCACCAAGTATTGCAGCAACAGAGCACCTGTATCATTTATGGCTGTTACTGGTTGGATTTGTTTGGAAATGTATGTTTTAATTGTTTTCTCTCTTTCTCCGTGTTTTTGTTGCAGGAGCTGAAGAGAGTTAAGTGCCAGCAAGTTGAGTGCAGACCGTCCCGGAGCCTCTCCTCCCTGCCCTCTCCTGAACTTTCCCCCAACCGAGCAGCTGTCTTATATCTCTATCTTTGGACCTGAAACACACTCAGTCCTGAAGACACACAAAAGCAGAGTTACGCACCTCACCGCCACCCCCATTAAGCAGGATGATCACTTCGGAGCTCCCCGTCCTACAGTGAGTGAAACACACCACAGAATAAGGAAATTGCATGCGTTTAATGTACTGTAGAAAAAATGTATTCCTTTGAATCCCTCTAGTTATTTTTTAGGAGTGGATATAACTGGTAACCCCTCTGCGGCCCTTTTACCTAAACCTATGTTTTAACTTTGTAAATGACTCGCATTTGTGTCTGCTCAAACCCTTCAAAACACAAGTGGAGTGTGTCTATGTTTATACTTCACTAAAACAAGTAGTTTGGTTTGCTTCCATCCCCTATAGTTTCACTTTTGTAAAGAGCATTATCTGTCCTTTTGGAACTGAACATTTAATTTGCTCTGTGGACGAATAAAAGATGAATGCATGTGAATCATATGTGTTTTTGTTCTCTCAGGGACTCGTCCAATGAGTCTGGGGCGACAGACGCAGTGGGCTTAAGTATGAGCATGAGCGAGATGGAAGATCCAGAGGTGAAAGGCAAGAAGAAGAGAGGGAGACCAGGAAAACAAGCCCCGGTATGTGTCTCCGTCAGTGGATGCTCCCTCTGTGTTTGTGTGAACAGGAGTGTTTTGGTTCTTTGCTTCCAACCTGTGTTTATGACATCTGTGTCCCCACAGACGTCCAATAAGAAGCCTCGGAAGTCACCGACAGACAAGGCTGTGGGCGTAGCGAGAGGGCGAGGGAAAGCCAACGGTGTGGCTCAACATAATGGAGACGGCGGAGACCCCGTCACTCTGTTTGAAGTGGTCAAACTGGGCAAGAGTGCCATGCAGGTGGGTGAATGTAGTTGTGTTTTTCATTTTTTAGAAGTGTCTATGCTCAAAATATAAACTTGTAAAATATTTGCATTATTCAATCAAATACATTTAATTGTTCGTGCTTATATCGCACAAGATGATTCTTTTAAAAAAAACCTTGTTGCACTCAACTCAAGTTTGTTCTCTTTGTAAAGAAAGTTTTCCAATGTAAAAGAAGACATTTATAAATCTCCCTGTTGTGACTGTGCATGTTTCTTTATCTTGCTCTGTGTGTGTGTGTGTGTGTGTGTGTGTGTACAGTCTGTGGTGGACGAGTGGATCGAGTCATACAAACAGGACAGAGACCTGGCATTGCTGGACCTCATCAATTTTTTCATCCAGTGCTCGGGGTGCAAAGGTAAGACTCGTGAAACTGCTGCAGCATAGTGAAATGGTAAAAGGACTGCCCTTCTGTAGAACCTGTCTAGCTTTCTGACCACTCAAAGCACTTTACACTACATGTCACATTCACACACGCATTCATACACGGACGCAACAGCATCAGAATAAAATATTGGTCTTCCGTATCTTGCCCATGGACCTGCAGCAGGAGTAGCCAGGGATCGACCCGCTCTACCTCCTGAGCCACAGCCGCCCTGACACCAGTTGTTCTGTGTGTATGTGTGAAACAACTGGAATAAATCAATCATTATTGTTCTGTAACCAGGCACCGTGAGGATTGAGATGTTCAGGAACATGCAGAATGCAGAGATCATCCGCAAGATGACTGAAGAGTTTGATGAGGTAACTGTTGTCTGCTTATTTATATCATTTATATTATTATTGTTCAGTGTCAGTGAAATTGTTGTCATGTAATTGGTTGCAAATATGTAGTGCTGTATTTATTAGTTGTTTTTTTTTTTAGAGAAGCAGTGTGTGCAGGAATAATCCTCCATGGGATAATGAAGGCTTACAATCAGTTCTACTTTGGATTCATACTTTTATGTCTCTATCAAACCAGTTTTTTTTTTTTAAGCCTGAACAGAAAATTCTGGAAAAAGATGTATTTATGGTGGTTGCAATGTGATTTATATCACACAATAAAAGATCAAAGTCACTCCAGCCTCTCACATCAGTTTTCAGTTGGTTTTCTTTTTCGTTGGTTTTTTTACCAGCTCCTCACCACATGACACATTTTTGACAGAAAAGGGGGGAACGCACAAATAGCAGTGGTTGAGCAGATAAAAGGAGTTCTGGTCTCCTTTATTGGTAACAAATGTTTTCTTAACCTCGACCAGAAAATCATGACACGCAGCCAGACTGAACAAAAGTGCCCATGTTACTGAAAACGAGCCCGAGCATACACACATCTGTGTCGCTGCTATGACAACCATTTGTTTAACAGCTGCAAATAACCCAACTGCCTGAAGACACACATCTGATATTGCCCCTTATAAATTACAACCCTGAACCTGTTATCAACAGTCAGCCGCAAAGATCATAGAGTTTGCGTGCTGTCTGAGCAGAAGAAGTGAATATGATGGATGAAAGAAAATTGTTCGTCCTTTCCTACAAAAACCCTTCAGAGCACAGAGGCTTGAACCACATGATTCTGATCGATAATGAAGTCTCTCTCTGTTTTTGTCAACAGGACAGCGGGGATTATCCTCTCACCATGCCAGGGCCTATGTGGAAGAAGTTCCGCTACAACTTCTGCGAGTTTATCAGCGTCTTGATCCGCCAGTGTCAGTACAGCATCATCTACGACGAGTACATGATGGACACGGTGATCTCCCTCCTCACCGGGCTGTCCGACTCTCAAGTGCGAGCCTTTAGACACACCTCCACGTTAGCAGGTAGTGACACAAGCTTTATGAGCACCTTTTTATGCATTTTTATATATCAGATTTTAGTTTTTTGTTTGGTACAATAAATTTTTTCAAAAGATCCTGCGAGGAAATGTCTGAAGCATTTGAGTGTGTGTTTATCACTGAGTCCTATTATGTTAATCCTCTGCATAGCCATGAAGCTGATGACAGCGCTGGTGAACGTGGCGCTGAACTTGAGCATTCACCAGGACAACACCCAGAGACAGTACGAGGCAGAGAGGAACAAAATAGCCGGCAAACGAGCCAATGAGAAGCTGGAACTGCTGCTACAGAAGAGGAAGGAGGTTGGCTGGTGTTTAATGGGACTTTTCAGATTGTTAACTATTAGGAATAACAGCTGTTATCACCATTCAGCTTGTTGAGATACTGTGCTACATATTAAAATGTCTGTAAAATGTCCTGTCCACTGACTGTGTTGCCTGTAACTTGGTGTTTTTGTCCTTGCAGCTTCAGGAAAACCAAGATGAAATAGAGAATATGATGAACTCCATCTTCAAGGGAATCTTTGTGCATCGCTACAGGTACACTTTGTGCTGGTTGATGCTTAACTGCCCATTCTTAGTCCCGATGATGGTGGTGTAAACGTTTTTGTCATGTGTTGTCGATGTTAATAATTAATAATAATAATAATAATAATAATAATAATAATAATAATGTGGTGATTGTACTGTTTTCTAGGGATGCCATTGCTGAAATCCGAGCCATCTGTATCGAAGAGATCGGAGTGTGGATGAAGATGTACAGCGATGCTTTTCTTAATGATAGTTACCTGAAATATGTTGGTTGGACACTACACGATAGGGTAAGCACACAGTCACACCATCAGCTAACTGTTGTTGGTTTTTTCTCACATTTCTTCAACACTTAGTTGATGTTTTCTTCACATTTCGGTGCACCACTACTTAATTTGATTTAATGTGTCTGGTGATATTGACACAAAAACAGAATGGTAGACCTTTAGCCACCAGAATCGGCTTTCCTTTGAGATGTTTCTTTAACTGTCTCTCTGTCTTTTTCAGCAAGGAGAGGTGCGTCTGAAGTGCCTGAAAGCTCTGCAGAACCTGTACACAAACCGAGAACTGTTCCCCAAGTTAGAGCTTTTCACCAACCGCTTCAAGGTAACAGCCACAAGAATGAAAACAACAATCAGGGCTGCTTTTAAACTGTAGATTTGAGGAATGTTTGGATTTTTACATTTTCTGATTTCTGTTGCATTTCTTGTTAGTGATCCCAGTTCTTCCTCTGTTCAATTATATCTGTTTTGACAGGACCGCATAGTATCAATGACACTGGATAAGGAGTATGATGTGGCTGTGGAGGCCATCAGACTGGTCACACTCATCCTGCAGTGAGAAACTTTAAAGCTTTTTGCTTCATCTCTTTATATGTTAAATTCATTTAGTTTCATGTAACTCTTAAACTCTCTTCAAAAAAAATATTATTTATGAAACTCATACGACACTTGAGGTCAATTTTTTTTTCTGGCTCATTTGGATTATCTTTTTTCCAGGGGCAGTGAAGACGCCTTGTCCAATGAGGACTGTGAGAATGTGTACCACCTGGTTTACTCTGCCCACCGACCAGTGGCAGTCGCTGCAGGAGAGTTCTTGCACAGAAAGTGAGTACATTTTGAGATCTTCCCTATTTTATCTTATCTTGGCTTGAAATAATGCTGAACTTGATTTTTAGTTGCCTCTTGTTTGTCATTGTCAACAGCTGTCAGCAGTGGTTTCTAAAGTCTCTCGTATTTGCTTCTCACTGTATCTTCCCTCTTTTTCACTCTTTGCTTCTGTCTATTCCTCTTTACTAAATCACGCTCTCCTCTTTTCCCTCGCTCTCTCTGACTGTCAGGTTGTTCAGTCGTCACGACCCACAGGCAGAAGAAGCCCTGGCTAAGCGCAGAGGGAGGAGCAGCCCTAACGGAAATCTCATCCGCATGCTGGTGCTCTTTTTTCTGGAGAGCGAGGTAACACTCACACTTACAGATGTGTTATTACACATGATGGAAAACATCATGGATTTTACACAATGCTTACAAAACCTGATCATGTACTGAGTTTTTTTTTTTTTTCTGTGTGTGTAGCTCCATGAACATGCAGCCTACCTTGTGGACTCATTGTGGGAAAGCTCTCAGGAGCTGCTTAAAGACTGGGAGTGTATGGCTGAACTTTTGCTGGAGGAGCCTGTGCAGGGAGAGGAGGGTAAGACACACACACACACACACACACCACACACACAGCACCCACACACACACACATACACACACTATTCTTATTCTCTCTTTAAGCCTATGAAGAGGATTTATGCTTCTCTCGTCAGGCACAGCATCACCAAAAACCAACTAGAATAGATGATGCAATGAAATCCTGTTCCGTGAAACTGTCTCTTAGTCTCTCTTTTCTTTCTGTTTCTGACCTTCACCGCCGTCTTTGTGTGTTTGTGTCTCTCTCTCGTTTGGTTTGACTCCTTCTGTCCGTCTCTGCAGTGTTGTCAGACAGACAGGAGAGTGCTTTGATAGAGCTGATGGTGTGCACCATCCGGCAGGCAGCAGAGGCGCATCCACCTGTGGGCAGAGGCACCGGCAAACGGGTAGGTCAAGTATACACACTTTACATCGTTTTCACTCTCAGCATTCGCCTTGCATTGTACACGAGTTGAAGGTGAGTCTGATGTAATGAGAGAGCAGGTGAATATACCTGCCAACTGAAGCCTTGAGCGATATTTAAAAATCTCTATGCATAAAATTGGTTCCCAGGAAGTCAACAGTGCTCCACTCTTTGTTTTCTGTGTTTTAATGAAGGCAAACAACAATAATATTTGGTTTATTTATGGAATAATCATAGAGATATAAATCCAGAACACATCAAAATTCAGGTTAACTTCAGAATCAAGGATACGTTGGCTTGATGACCTCTACAGTAACTCTCAATCAAATAACTATATGCTGTTGAAGACTTTCTTTGCTAGTAGCCCTGTGTATAAAACTGATCTGTCTAAATTTAGATGTGGTAGTCATAATGTAGAATATTTACATGACTGTGTTCCAAGACAACTTACTTTATGTTTAATATGAGATCGATTTGTCATGGATCCTTATAGATTACTTTGTCATGGTTTTGACGATGAGAAAAACAGATTAGTTAAATGATACAATGGGATTAATCCAAGCAAGACACACAAGTAGCAAAGGAAGACTTTTTCTAACTACTCTGGTCATATTGAGAGGACTGAAAGTTCCACACAAAATCACTGCTTTATCACCCTTTTCCTGCCTATTTTTACATTTTACCTAAAGTTTTGTATCTGCTTGTCCAGGTGCTGACAGCGAAGGAGAGGAAGACTCAGATAGACGATAAGAACAAACTGACAGAGCACTTCATCATGGCTCTGCCCATGCTTCTGTCCAAGGTAAGTCCTTCCTGAAAGCCAGCCCGCAGCTTGCACAGGGCCAGCAACAGACAGGCTACTGGCACTGATTAATGAGCGGGCTGGGAGACTGATCTGTTTGTCGAAAATAATCGATCAGGCTGTTACTTATGCAGTCATGAGAAGTGTTATGGAATGAACACCACTCTGGACGAGTGTGCTGGCTACATACTTAAATGTATTTTACTAACTGGGAAACACCACTACCTCCTGCTGTGACCTGTGCAATGCTCCATGTCAATCACATCTGTATATAAAATAAACTGTATATAGTGTACATGCAACTCTGATTCTATTTTTTTTAATTATATGTTAATTATGTTTTCATTATATTTTGTATTTTTCTATTTTATTTTAATTAAATGTTTTATTTAATGTGTATTTTCTTGTCTGTTATATCTGGAGCTGCTGTAGCAAGTGAATTTCCGCCACTGTGGGCTCAGTAAAGTCTATCTTATCTTAGAAACCAAGTATCAGATGTTGATTGATGGGTCCCTTTCTCCTTTCTGCCTCTGTATGTCTTCATGTACGCTTTCTTCTCCATTTAATTCCCACCTCTCCATCTCCTTTCTCCACAGTACCAGGCAGACTCGGAAAAGGTAGCCAACCTGCTGCAGATCCCTCAGTTCTTTGACCTGGACGTGTACAGCGCCGGGCGCATGGAGAAGCACCTCGACGCCTTGCTGAAGCAGATCCGGCTGGTGGTGGAGAAGCACATCGAGATCGACGTGCTCGAGGCCTGCAGTAAGACCTACAGCATCCTCTGCTCCGAGGAGTACACCATCATGAACCGCGTGGACATCGCCCGTTCACAGCTCATTGACGAGATGACGGATCGTTTTACACACTCTGTCGAAGAGCTGCTGCAGGAGGTATGAAGGGAAAAGACAAATTTGTAGAATCTTAAACTGGTTGCATATCAGTGTTTATACGTGGGGGTGTTTAAGTGAGTAGTAGAAATAGTAGTCTGGCCTTTATGCACTAACAGGTGTTTGTTATTCTGCAGGCTGAGGAGGCCGATGATGACGATATCTACAATGTTTTATCCACTCTCAAGAGACTCACAGCCTTCCACAAGTAAGACTCTTTCTTACAGTACAGTCAAGGTGATGCTTTTGTTCTCAACTAACACTCCACATCAAAACATATGTCTCGGCTGTAGCCTTCAGAAGTTAATCTGACTGGATAAAAACTTCCACTAAATCCATTTGATGGCTTAACTTACAGTATGAAAACCTAATGTGTTTCCCTCTTGTTTCCGGCCTCAGTGCCCACGACTTGACGCGGTGGGATTTATTTGGAAACTGCTACCGGCTGCTGAAGGCGGGCATCGAGCAGGGCTCCATGCCGGAGCAGATAGCTGTCCAGGCCCTGCAGTGCTCCCACTACTCCATCCTCTGGCAGCTGGTCAAGATCACGGAGGGGGCTCCCAGCAAGGTGCTGGACTCACTTCATTGACAGAGCTTTAACGCTGCACGCTCACAGATCCCAGGTTTATTCTCGGTCAGTGAAGACGGCTGTGTCTTAGCAGCTGTGGCCTAGAGGGACAGGAGCTTATCTGTATTTCTGCAGAGAGCCCCCCGATTCAGGGGCTTACTTCCAATCTATCTCATTTAACACTTAAACACCGCAGAGAGGCAGCAGATCCCAAGGCTGTTATTTTGTGTGGACTGAAGCCCAAACATCTAAGACAGTTTAACCTTTAATCTGCTCCTGGGAAATGTCCTACAGTGCAGCATTATAATTGAAGGATGTTTTTTTTAGTTCAAGTTCAATAGTTCTACACTACAATAGTGCTACAGCAACTTAAAAACTCACCATGTGCACACAGTATATGTAACTGAATTCTTCACTATTAGCTTTTGATTATTTTCTCAATTAACTGATTAATCGTTTGGTCTATAATCGCAAGGCACTTTTATTTATATGGCACACTCCACATCAAGGCAAACAAAGTGTTTTAAGAATGACTTAAATGATTAATGGATTTTCAAAATTGTTGCTGATTAATTTTCTACCAGATCTACTTCTTAGAGAAATTCTACAGACTGATCGATTCCCACACTTTGAACATGCTACCAATATCAGTATAAAATGCGACTGACACCTGTAGCTATAAAACATCCTTATGAAATCAATGACAGCATTGATTCCTGTCTATTTACTGTCTCGGCGGTGCAGAGATAAATGCTGCTGTATGTCATTTCAGTAGCATTTAACGCAATATAAAGGCATCACCCTTATATTTGAATTATGCAGAGTACTTTGATGTATATAATGGACTGGGCCAGTGTGTCAAGATTAGAAAAACAAAACTCGATCATCATGATTGGATCAGTCTACCATGTCCCACTGTGCTCCCTGAGCCCTTTGACAGACTCCACCAGCATCAACACAAAGCGTATTGATTCCTCCGCCTCAGTGGAGTGAGTTGATGATTTAATGAAATCATTAAAGTTTGATTACTTTATTGGTGCAGTTTAACCAGGGACAGACATTTAGCCTGACCAATGCTGCTGTTTAATATCAATTTCTGTTAAAGTGTGGCTAATGGTGTGTGTGTTTGTTTGTGTGTGTGTGTGTGTGTCTGTACGTGTATGATGCAGGATGACCTTGTGGCTCTCAGGAGAGTGGTGAAGTCTTTCCTGGCTGTGTGCCAGCAGTGCCTGTCCAACGTCAACACACCAGTCAAAGAACAGGTAACAACACACACCTGATATGACCCGCTCACACTTTCTACTTTCACTGAATAATTAGTAGTATTAAACTAGGGTTGCTATTTAGTCCCTGGAGATTAGATAGATATTTTAAATTTAAATATAGTATCAAAAAATCAAATTGAATATTTTAAGGCCCGGAATTGTTTAAAATGTGATGAGGAAACGGGTTAAAATCCTTTTGTTGACCTATTAAAAAAAAAGATTCCTGTATATGTCTGTTATCACAAGAAAGAAAATCTTTGTTGTAAAATGAACAGATAAATTAAAACACCTCGTGTGTGCCTCTTTTTCAGGCGTTCATGCTTCTCTGCGACCTGCTGATGATCTTCAGTCACCAGCTGACTTCCGGCGGCAGGGAGGGCCTCCAGCCGCTGGTCTTCAACCCAGACAGCACTCTGCAGAACGAGCTGCTCAACTTCGTCCTGGACCACGTCTTCATCGACCAGGACGATGAGAGTCAGAGCATGGGTGAGAAAGAGAGAGCAACAACTTCTTACAGGACACCAAGCGCATTATTTTTAGGAGATCCGCTTGAAGATGGTTCAACAAAATGCCGCCTGTTCATTTGATATTTCCCTTTGCCTGTAGAGGGAGATGAGGAGGACGAGGCCAACAAGATCGAGGCCCTCCACAAAAGGAGAAACCTGCTCGCAGCTTTCTGCAAACTCATCATCTACGACATCGTAGACATGCCCGCTGCTGCCGACATCTTCAAACACTACATGAAGGTGGCTGTTCATCTGTACTTGACATTAATATCATAAATATCATAATATCAACATAAAAAATAAGGCATAATGAAATGGATAAACATAGGAAGTCAGCTTTCGAAGATCCAGATTTAGAAGATGCTTTCTTTTAAACAAACTACGTTGGCATGTCAAATGTTCTGGTTTTGATGCAATTGTTGATTGTTGCATGTTTCTGACGGTTTTGTTTCTCTGCCTCAGTATTATAATGATTATGGTGACATCATCAAGGAGACTCTGAGTAAAACCAGACAGACGGACAAGATTCTCTGTGCCAAGACCCTCATCCTCAGTCTGCAGCAGGTAAGACACTGATGAAGACAATATAACAGGCTGCAGACACAGCTCTATGGCTTGAAACCGTGCATTCACTAAGTTTTGAGTGCTCCTGCGTAAACACTTTATGAACTTGCGTTGCAGCTGTTCAATGAGCTGCTGCAGGACCAAGGACCCAACCTGGACCGAACGTCGTCTCATGTCAGCGGCATCAAGGAGCTGGCCCGCCGCTTCGCCCTTACCTTTGGTCTGGATCAGATCAAGACCAGAGAGGCCGTTGCCACGCTGCACAAGTAAGACACTCTTCTCTAGTGGGAACAAGACTGGGCTCTGTTCTAAGACATGAAGGATTTTAAGAATGCTTTAGCTGAGGTTAGAGCTCCAAGACCACGAGGAATTAGAATGTTTTTGGGTTATTTAAGTAGTGTTGATTTGAATCTGGACACCGGATGCTATTGGTGAAATTCCCGAAATGGCTTCTATGCTGAGGGAGTAGTAAACCAAACACTGGTGAAAGTAGACATTTTTCGATTTCAACTAAGCTGGGAAAAATCAATTCAGCAGCCAATAAATTTAAGTAGTCTCTCTTTTTGCTGCTAGCGAGTTACTAGTTCTATTTATTTCAGTTTTGGTTTCTCTGTCACTAAAGTCTTTTTATTGTCTTTCCTTGTTATTCTCACTCTTACTGTGTCTGTTTTTCTATTTCTAACCTCTGTTTCTTGCTCTCTCTCTTTCTCACATCAGGGATGGAATAGAGTTTGCATTTAAGTACCAGAATCCACGAGGACCAGAGTTTCCTCCAATCAACCTGGCCTTCCTGGAGGTTCTCAGCGAATTTTCCTCCAAACTTATTCGCCAAGACAAGAAGACGGTGTAAGTACTCCATTCAATGTTTTTTTTTTTCCTTCTCTATCTGACACCTAAAGCTTTGTTTATGTTATTAAAAAAAAAAAATCAACTATGTTTCTGTCTCCTCAGCCACTCGTACCTTGAGAAGTTCATGTCGGAGTCGATGTCGGAGCGTCGGGAGGACGTGTGGCTGCCGCTGATTTCCTACAGGAACAGCCTGCTGACGGGAGGAGACGAGGACCACATGTCCGTCACATCGGGCTCCAGCAGCAAGGCCGGCTCAGTCCGCAGCAAGAAGGGACGACCGCCGGTACACAAGAAACGCATCGAGGGTGAGCAGACGGACACACACACACACACACAGGTTATTTGCATTTGCTGCTCTGAATCTTGCAACTGAACTTTCTGTGCGTGTTGATTTTCAGAGGAGAGTACTGTTGAGGGCTCGTGGTTGATGCGCAATGACACTCTTCAGACACCGGGAGCGCTGCAGACTCCTCAGCTCACCTCAACAGTCCTCAGAGAGAACAGACCAGCAGAACACTTGCCAGACCCGGACTCAGAACCCGGATCAGAGAACGACTTTGTACACAAGTGAGTGCATACACATAATGAAAATAATGAATCCCCTTTATTTTGTAGTTAACCCATCACAGCTGACTTTTTTAGGAGTATATTTGACCCTCCGTTTGTCTTCAGTCCTCAGATGCAGATGTCGTGGCTCGGTCAGCAGAAGATGGAAGAGGTGAACAGGAAGGACCGGACGGGCATGAACTACATCAAGTCACGCAGCAATCAGGGCGTCCGGCAGACTGTGTAAGTGTGTCAAGCCTTAAAAGCAGATGACTTTATAGTCATTTTAGTTTCATGTCAGTCCTCAGTTAAATAAGAAAGTGGCCACAGTTGTTTTTATAAGACGATAAACAGATGGATATGTGTCTTCTTTTATAATTGCGTTTCTTGTCTTACTGTTAATGATATTTCTCGTTTAGGCGTGGGTTGATGGAGGATGACGCAGAGCCCATCTTCGAGGATGTGATGATGTCATCACGGGGCCAGCTGGAGGACATGAACGAGGAGTTTGAAGACACTATGGTGATCGACCTGGTCAGTGACGTCACTTTGTCTCACCGCATTTGATTTACGAAATCCCACAGAAGAAATTAAGATAAATTAGGAATCCTTGTCTTAATTAATTATCGTTGTTCATGTCTTTATTTTGGCTTTTTGTCCTTCCCAGCCGCCATCGAGGAACAGACGTGAAAGAGCGGAATTAAGACCAGACTTCTTTGACTCTGCAGCTATGATTGAGGACGAGTCGGTGAGTAAAACTTTGCACTTTGAGTCAAGAAAGTGAATAAATCTGAATAAGTCAAACAAGTGAATTGATTTGTCAATTGTCACAAAATCTCCCCTTTGGCGCCCCCTAGTGGTAATCACAAAAATGACACTGGCAGACAGCGATGCATGCTGCTTTCTGCAGACATTTCCTCCTTAAGGTTGTCTAACAGTCGCTCTCCTCTCCACTGTTCCAGGGTTTCAGCATGCCCATGTTCTGATCCTGGAAGAGGCAAAGATCCTGAGACCAGGATCCACATCAGGAGTTAACAAGAGGGGGGTGGGGGGGTGGGGGTTT